AAAAAAAAAAGCAAAAAACAAAACAAAACAAAAATCAAAACAACCCCCCCCCCAAACAAACTATTAAGGCTTCTCAGGAGCAAAGTAAGTGCTGTGCAGATACAGAGGCTCCTAGTACCCCAAGGACTGATCTGGATTGGAATTGTAGCAGTAATTCTTGACCTGCATCAATCCCAATCACTTCAGACATCAGCTGTCTGAGGGTGTGATCAGATGGGCATTTGCCCTGCAGTTTGGTCCAGGTTAGAGATGGTCTGGTTCACTCTCTTTTCCAGTGACCACACAATGTACATGCCATTGTGAATCAGCCTGCCTCTGATTGATGCCTATCTAAAATGTTTTGGGTCCCTGTTATAGTCTACTGGTTTTGTTTGTTTGTTTTTGGTGCTGGTAGGATCACTCCATTTTGGTTTGGTTCCAGTGTGCCTGATTGCTAGTATTTTACTAAAGCATGTGGCTGGTTGGTGAAACTGCTTAATGATCTTAAGATAGAAAACTTCCTTTCCACTCATCTTTGAGGGCAAGGTAAAGGAAGTTTTGCATTTCTTTTTAATAGTTGCTAATGTATACACAAACCTTTTAAAGTTTTTTTTAAAAAAGCTCAGTTAAAGCATTGCTGACGTTCTGTGCCAGCTGGCAACTAAGACTAAGAAAATTGGGAAATGCCTGGACATTCATTTCTGGTTTTGATTTTGGGTGAAGGGAGAGGCTGTTTAATATGAAAACCATTGTTCTTGAAAAAAATTCATTTGTCACTGAAGCTCCTATTTTTCTTTAACTTGTAGAGGAGGCAATTTTCGGCATTCCATGGTGTAAAAAGGTTCCTGGCCCAAGGTGTAAAAAGGTTCCTGGACCACTCCTATGTTGTAAGATATCTATCTGTAGCTGGATCCTGATCTTCAACAGTCTTGCTTCATCCCCAGCTATTTATTTTCAAAAGCTTGAACAACTGTATATATATACATATTTAAAATTCTTAGTGGCCAGAATCCTGTTATTTATGTACACAGAACGTCAGCAATGCTTTAACTGAGCTATATATATATATAGTGGCCAGAATCCTGTTATTTATGTATGTTGAGTTAGTCTCTAGCCACTGTTCACCACAACCACTTATACCATATCACTTACACTGGGTTAGGCAATTAGCAGGATTCTACAAGCAGCATATTCTGTGTGCTGGGGTTCTTGCTGTGGAAATTTTGTTCTCCTTGTAATAACAAATGGCATAATATTTCTAAGACTGCCAACAATGTTTAAACAGCGAGAATATATCCTTAGTTAGCATAGACTGGAATGAACAATTCAAAAAATAAAGTGCAGATTTTCTGCTTAATGTTAGCATATTTAAGTGCACTTAGTTAAAATATATATATATTTTCTAAATAGTAGCATTGTTCTGAAAGTGGCAAAAAAGAGGGATTATCCCCTACACAACAGATGTTGTGTGGCTGGGAGCAGCTGTAACATGACACAGGATACACATGTACCTTTTGCCTGGTTATAGCATGGTGGAATTAAGATTCAGTAGCAAAATTGAAGATGGAAGACAAGATTCAGTCTTCTCAGCTTCTAAATATGAAATGGGAAGGGCTGCCATCTTCTACTTTACTTGAGGTAGAAAAATGTCCTAAAATGACCATGTTGCTGGTGGTGGTGCTATGTGTCATCCATCAAGTTGCATCTGACTTAAGGCAATTCTAATAAAGATTTCAAGGTATATGAGATCATCAAATAATGATTTACTATTGCTCTCCTACCCTCTGAGTGAGGATTGGAATCTAGGTCTCCTGAGTCCTAGTCTATCAGTCTATCTGCATTGGCCCTCAAGGATAACCGTGGGAATTTGCAGCTGACCAACAAAGCTCACTGACCTTGTCTCTGATCCAGGCTTCTGCATGGTCCACTTTTTGCAGAAACTCCAAGAAGGCCCTGCTGTCCTCAAGCATCTTTCCACGTGCAGCAACAGCTCCTCTTAGTGCTGCCCATCGTTCCTGAAGCAAATGAGTCTTACGACAAACCTCTCCCACTTTGGGATGATTCTGGCGGACCAGTGTTTCTCCTGTCTTCATGCAATAAGGAAGGGATGGTGAACAGGAAAAGATTCATGTAATATTTCCAGGTGGTTTCTAGGAAAACCCATCTTAGGAGACACAGAACCGATCTAGATGATGGCTTAAGTGTGTGACCCCATTTAACACAAGATGCATGGTCCCTGAGACCAAAAATGTGGTACAGAGGGAGGGGGATTACTCCTTTCTTCCTATACAATGGGAAGACTATGCTGGCATATAGGTGACAGTTTTGCACAGTCAGTCTGGATGAAAGTTAAACAGGAAATTTCTCACCATCCAGATATTTTTGAATACTAATCAAGTAGTCCCCTGTCACAGCCCAATTTTGGCTGGAGTTTCTGAGAGCTGACATCAATTTTGTAGGGGCAAAGCTTCTGCACCCCTGCTGTGATTAAATGGGATATGCTGGTGAGTATCTGAATATATTGCTTTAAGATGAAAATGTTTCACCACCACCCCATGTCTCTTGTGATTTTTTCCCTTTACTCTCTCTATTTGCAAAAATGACTTTTCTCCAGGTCCATTGTCTCCTGGATCCTGACAAAAAGAGGCTCAGAGAAGCCTCTGCAAATAGTGTCCACATCAAGAAGTTAACTTCTGCAACATTAATTACCGCTATTCATTCAGTTAGGTTATAATCAACATTCACAGAAAATGGAAATAATCACTTTGTCTCCCAGGCAAAGTGATTTGAAGCTGCCACTCTGTAGAGAATAAAAGCATTTTTCATTTTAAGGCCCTTTCATATTTGAGGATGTTGCTAAAATTGCACATTACAACACATATATTTAATACTTACTGTGTTAACCGCTGCAATTAGATCTTTGTGAGCCAGAATCTCAGCCTCAAAGACTTGATGCTTTTGCAGAAGCTTCATTTTGTCATTCAGGCTGCTTGGATTTTGAAAAGAAGTATCATCCAGCTTTTGCATGCGGTCATCAATCCAAGTCTCTGCCTGTTACAAAAAAACCAACAATGTTGCAACTTTTTCAAGCTCCCAATGTTGGTAAATGTTTTTTGGTGGGAGAGATTTTCAGTAATTAATTTTTGGTAATTAAAGAGTTCATTCTTCCATTCCAGAGTTTCCACAGCTGACACACAATAAGACTGATTACATGTAAGCCAGACAGACAGCTGGAGAAAAGTAAAATACTTCAATTATTGAAAATCTTCACCTTATGCAGATGCAAATTAGGTAACAGGATTTTGGCCATGCAGATAAAATTTGAAACTCTCTCTCTCTCTCTCTTTTTTTAAAAAATATTTTATTAGTTTTTCAATCTACATTCAATTTGTGCTTGTTAAACATTATGTTACGTGGGTTGCTTACAATTATTTGTTTTTTGCGTCTTGGTGTCTTCTTAGTTGTCCCTTCAAAATCTATACATTTTTTAAACATTTAAACTATTCATGTGTATATTTCTCAATGTCCTCTAATAACATACCTAATAAAAGTAATTCCAGTTCCAAATTTATATAATTTTGAGGTGATTTAACCAATGAACTTTGTATTTTATATCAGTAATAACTGAATAGGTTTCTAACACATAATAGATGTTATCTAAAGCATTTTATACAGATT